GCAAGAGGGGTGAGGATAGATTAAAAGAGTGTGTGTGTGTGTGTGTGTGTGTGTGTGTGTGAGAGAGAGAGAGAGAGAGAAATTGCTGTTAGGAAAATCTCAAGATGGAAGTACCAAGGCAGTATACCAGAAGAGAAAATGTGAAGAGAAAAGCTAAAAAAATACTAAAAGAGAAGAGCAAAGTCTACATAGAAAAAATGAGGTGGAATGAGAGAAAAATGGTAACTGAACCTCCACACCTTCAGACACATCAAAGTATGAAAAACAAATAAAATGGGGAATGATAAATACAGAAAGTGACAATATAGAACTTGTCACTGATGTATACAGTGGCAAGATAAACAGGTGCATAGGGGACAAAATAGAGAATTGTCATTGCAGAAAAAATACACTCAAAAAAGTGGAGAAGAGGGGACAAAAAAGTAAATGGAACCCAAGAAACAAATGGATTCGTTCGTGATGCAATTTTTCAACGTGTTTGATGTGTTGTTAGGCAAAGTATAGAAACTACTTTCATGGCAGTGAGGTGGTTGAAAGCCAAGGGTTTTGAAAGCCAAATGACACAGTCCAGGACTGTATCCTTGTGACAGGTTGGAGTGCTCCCCGCCAGGTGCTGCTGTCTCCTTCATGAAAGAGGCAGGTCAGCAAGGACAGGCAGGTCTGAAAAGGCCACCCCGCCCCTTGTGCAGGGCTTGGGGCTCCAGGCTGAGGCTGGACCTCAGGTTCCGTGAGCTCCATCTCAGCGCCACCCCTCCCCGCACTGCAGCCTACTCTCTGGTGACTCCCAGCCCTTCATATGTGCTCTAGCTTTGATATTTCCCATCCAAAAAATGTCTGGAGGCTCTAGAGCTCCCCACATTATTGTTGCCTTGGTCAACAACTCAGGCAAGGATTGGAAGTACTAGAGTACAATCCAGAGGAGGAAGGAAGATACAGCAAAGCACTGAGAGGGTTTCTGTTGAAAGCCAAAGACAGCTGGGTGCCCTGCCCAGAATGGCTTTTTCTGAAAGATGGGCTGTTCCCAGTCATTAAATCACTCCTAGCATGCTGGGTGGATTGTTTTAGGTGCTTAGGGTCATTCTATAATGCTCCTTGGAAACTTTGGGATGACATTGACTTTGGAATGTGCTGAGTGAAATTTGGACAAAGCAAATAGAGAGAGCCTCACCTTTACGTATAATGCTCTAATCCCTTGTGGATGTGAGGGGTGTGTGTGTGTGTGTGTGTGTGTGTGTGTAAGGGGGGCTCCTGCTTTCATAACAGTGGACAAAGGGAAAACAGAGATGGGGTGTCGTCCCCTTCTGATTTGCCATAGAGAACCAGTAGAGAGCAAGAACTGCAAAACCAGATTGAAAGTGTGTGAGGAACCCAGGTCAGCATCTCCAGGCCACCCTTTCTCACGTTGGGTTCCCCCAGCAGCAACCTTTGAGGCAAAGTTTTGAAAGCAAGTGGCTTATCTGTTGTGTGAGGAACCCAGGTCAGCATCTCCAGGCCACCCTTTTGCACGTTGGGTTCCCCCAGCAGCAACCTTTGAGGCAAAGTTTTGAAAGCAAGTGGCTTATCTGGGCGGTGATCCCAGGAAGTCCCTGAGGCAAGAAGATCAGTAAGACAGGGAAAGGAGGGCAGCCTGTGCGAGGCGTGTTCTTACACCACTGACTGCTGTGGCAGCAAATGTTGCAGAGTTGGCCCACCAAAGGGTCAAGGGGTCTGTGGCCTTTCCACACTGATTCCAATCAGTCACTGGTTGGGGGCTGCATGGCCTGCTGCACAGGTGGGCGGGGAGGCACTGAGGCCAGAGAAAGCATTCAGGCAGAGAAACACAGATGCTGCCAGTGGAAGTTGGCCAGTGTGGCTGGAGGGGTGAGGGAGGGAAACGAGGTGACAACAGATATACTCAAAATGCAAAAGGGACAGCAGGTCGGTGTCAAGAAGCAGTGACTTCTCATTCCGTGAGGCGATGAGAGGAGGCTGACAGCCCAGATGCTGGGTCCACAGGTGAGGTCAGAACTCCAAAGCCTTTACTAGCGCTGCACAATGTGTCAAGTCCTTACACATCTCTTAGAAGAGTTTTCCCCTCTGCCAATGAAGGGGATAATGCCCCCCGCCAGGATGGTTGTGAGATTTAAGAGCTGATTGCAAGTGACATACCTAGCACAGTGCCTAATGTACAGTGAGGACTCACTGACGGATGGGATCATTATCATTATCAGTACAGTGTTCTAGGAAGTGTTTGGGGAGGTAGGAAGACAAAGCGAGGTGGGGTGGGCATTGGGGGATGTAAGCCTCTTGGGGTTCTAATAGTTACTTTAAAAATAAATACCTTGTTATTTTAGATCAAGGGCTTTTAAACGATGTATGCTAAGCTGTCCTACAGGAACTCTTCCATGGAAACTAATTAAACAATCTAGAATGTGCTGTAATGGATGGTTTGCAAGTACAGACATATATAAGGATGAATGGGAAAGAATTCTGAGTTAATGGGCTTTACAGATATTGGCCCCAATCAGTTCGGGGAAAGAGCTATTCTCAGAAGGGAAAGGGCTCATCTCTTGATGGTGCCAGATTCCTTCAGGCCAGTAATGTGCAACTAAGTGCACCAGAATGGGAGAAGTTCGCACTGTGGTGGCGGGTGCAGCTTACCCACGGAGAGAGGTCTGCTGCCTTGCTGGCTTGCAGAATTAAGAAGTGTGTGTGCATGCATATGTGCGAAGTCGCAGCTGCTGCTCTGGGGCCATGGGCTTTGGCTGTCACTGATGCCTTTCACCAGAAGCCAAAGAGGCTGCCCCGGCCCAGGAGTGGTGAGACGATGTCAATTTAGAACGTCCTAATTGCTGCATCTAAGCAACAGTGGGAATCAGTATTTATTTTGCCCCAAACTGAGAAAAGCATCTTCACATTGAGGAAGGGAAACTGAAAAAGTGAAATCAAAACTCTAACGAAAGGCTCCAACTGAGTGCTTCTTCTCTAAATAAGGTCCGACAGTGTGGATGGAGGAGATGACCCCGGTGTGGCTCCTCTGGCTGGGGGCAGGAGCCTGTCTTCTAAATTGGGAAGGATTTGGCTGAGCACAGGCATGTGATGGCTCCCCCGTACCCTCTTCTCTCAAAGTGACGCATCTCTCTAGACGTCTGTCATGCAGTACAGCTCGCCTTTCGCAAGCCCCAGAAGATGATGGAGGGGAAACATGCCTCTCGCCAGGCAGAACAGGTCATTTGTCTTTTGGCTCATTTTGTGTTTCTGCATAAATCCTGCATCAGCCTGTTCCTGCTCCCACTTGCCAGTGAGCAGTTTTTAATTATCAGGAAAATGGTATTTAGTGCAATGAATCACCAGACAGTGAACAAGGAATTCAAGTCAGCTGCAGAGTTAGGCACAGCCAAACATTTAGAGTCAGGGCTTGGAAAATGTTCTCAGATTGTGAGTGTTGGGGAAATATTATTAGTGGCAGCAGTAATAATATCAGATGTAATATATCCCTATAATGTAAGGTGTTTTATAATAATCTGCATAATGCTTTACATTATTATTATTGCTGACATAAATACCATTAACATATTTATATTTTACAGTTTCTGGTTATTTTTATCATAGGTTACATGCTATTGGCATGAAGTGTTATGTGTGGGTCTAAACTTTGGATTGCTAGTGCTTCGAGAGAGGAAAACATCCTTCAATTTTATGATCTTCTAGTTTACTAATTTCTATTAAAGGTCTTATTTCAGACATATTTGTTCTTTGACCCCAAAACCTGCTTACGCTCTGCCTGGGATTGCAGCCTGGATTGCCTAAAGCCTTACAGGACCACAGTCCCAGGAGAATTGCCAAGTCTTAAACGTGGACCAAGTCTTTGAATATATTAGGTTTGGGGAGAAATGACTGAGCCAGTGTCCAGAGCTTTCTTGCATGGCCTGGAGCAGTTCTTGAAGCAGAAGAAATGTCCAGCCATTGTCAGAAACCCTGCATCAGTAGGTCAGGATCCCAAAACGTAGAGAGGCTGGGACAAGCTCTGGAAATGCTGGCTGATATGCAGTGAATCTGAAAAATCAGTGAGACCTGTTTACAAGCGCCAGGGTCTCAGG